AACAGAAAAAGTTTGAGATTACAGTATAGTTATAACAGTCTTTTCAGCAGTCTGTCATCATGGTCTGAGAGATGTTACATTTTTGTGGTTATACCACAAAAGCAAGCATCTCACAGAGTGAAATATAGGATCAAAGCATACAGTACCTCCCTAAGAAACACTATAAAATCCTTGCTTTTCAGCATCAAGGTGGATTACCTGACGAATTAAGTTTTTTAAAGAACTGATAAATAATTAGTATATTTCATTGGAAAAATGTGTTAAAGAACTGTAATATTTTCGTAGTAGAAGAAATAAGTCAACAATGTTTAGCAATGAAACATATTTTGTTGTTGTTTAGTACAAATATTTATCCAAAGTGATGGCTTGGTGGTCAGCACTGCAGCCTCACACCTCCAGGGGTGTGGGCTGAATTTGGGCCTTAGCTCTGTGGCTCGTGTTTTCCCTGTGTTCCCGGTGTTGTCCTAGCAGACAATGTCTCCAAAATCCTATCCAGGGTGCAGCCCAGTAATTGTAATATGTAACTAGCAGCTGTTTGAAGAGGCCAAAAAGCTGAACTGAAACAAAATCCAGCTGAGTCTGGCACATGAGCCCCAGAACTGTCCACCCTTAAAACAGAGAAGCAGAGGGAGGAACAACCAATTTGTATCATTACCACGCGGCCTTTAGGGTGTAAGACGGTGTTTGACTTCATTTTGCATATTCCTCGGTTGTTTTATATGATCACTTAAGTGATCAGTGATGATCTGCACCAGTAAATGAGTATTTCTTCCAGCCTCTCACAATACTTCAAAGCATTTTCTCTAGTTTTGATATAATAATAATCGATACTTTAATAAAGTTGTTTTTACACCTCTCTCAACTTGCTCTTTGTAAAGTAAGTTGTCTGTGAAGGGCAGCCACCTGTAGCAGCGCCCAGGGAGCTGGGGGTTAAGGGCCTTGCTCAAGGAGCCACAAATGTGCTGAGGCCACATGCTGCCCCCTGTATGTTATGGTGAGTTTACCCAATTATCTTAGTTGTAGTGTGCCCAGTCAGTCCACAACTTCACTGTGAGCTCAAAATCACTGTCTTCTTTGCAGTGACTTAGGCCTTGTAGGTTTACACTCCATCTCCAAACACTTACATGTGTCGCTGGTTCTAGGCTTCATTCATTGGCTACCAGCTGGAGTTCAAGTAAATTAAGGCCCTTCATACTAGTATGTAAGGTAGCCATGCTGTACCTCTATATATACAAGAGTTTGGCTGACCCTGCACTCCCCAAAGTCACCTGAAAGGCGATAGTTCTGGATGTATGTATATCTTTATGTTTTTGTGTCAACTGTATTATGAGGCCATTGTGGATGTATCGCTTGAGCTCTGTAGAAATTCAATGCAATATAAAACTAAGAGCCACTCTGCTTTCATGTAAATAAATTCATAGTGATGAAGCTCTTTATGTTCTGGGCAACATATAGACTAGAGAGAGAATGGCCCTCTCTACTAGGATCGAGCTTAAATGAGTACCTTAGGACCTGCAGACCATATCTCAGGCATGTCCTGGTGATGCAAAAGAAAATCGAATTAGACTTCCAATCCCAAGGCGTACTTCAGTAGTCAGCATTATAAAAATAGTTTTATCACAGTTTTCAAAAAGTAAAATGTGGCTTGAAACCAGCCAGGAATTTATATTGTACAATAAACAAACATCCATGACAAAAACCCCCATGACAGTGAAGACTATAGTTGCAGTGTAGTGAACAAATATTGAAAAGCTGTCACATTTACAAAAATATAAGTTCCTTATGTTTTAATTAAAAAGAGACAAACACTCACTGGTGAGGGCTGAGGCTGTGCTAATACAGCAGGAGTCCCTGCTGACCCCAGAATTGTGTCTGTGCGCATCTGTCCTCCAGCAAAAAGGATGGGTGTTGATGTGGACTTGGGGCGGTAAGGAATGGTTGCACCTTTGGGTGGAGACTGAAGACAGGGAGGAGCATTGCAGACATTCACACTGAGCCCAATACAGTCAATCCAAACATCTGCACCATTATCTTACATCCATTTATTTATGTAACTGATTCTTAATGTAGAATGATCATAAAACTTTACATTGTTGGTATATTTATGGTTCAGTGGTCTCCATATGATGTGTAGGTCAATCAAACCAGAAGGTGCCCACCTCTAGCATGACTACACAGATCTGCTTCACACATTGGATAATGGCTTCTGGGGAGCCTGAGATAGTGACTGCTCTTTCTGTAGAGTTGGGCAGCATGTCGCCTGCCACCTGAACTTGGGCCCCTGTGGTCTAACACAGAAATTGGAAATTTGGGTTCACTTGTGCTCAAAGACACAACAGCCAGCAACGTTTCTTCTTAACCAAAGGTCAACGCCATCATGGTGAATGGTGAATTTAAAAAATGTAGCCTACATAGTTTTTTTTTTTTTTTTTTTTTTGAGTGAAAACATAGACAGGATACAGACACATTTGTTTGGGTACAGACAGGTTGACAGTCCGTTGTATTAAGGCTTATAAAGTCAGACAGGTGAGTTAATAAAAGTTAGGCAGTTTGCATTCTTAATAAACCTAAAAAACTGTTCCATCTCCTTACAGCAGCTGTTGCTATATAGCATTACTGCTTCATCTTAGTAGCACCTTAGCATATTAGTAAGGAACAGCACTGCAGCAGAGACCCAGCCCACATAACCACAGGGATGGGTATTTCTCACATTTCTATAGATATCATGGAATTTACACCTCATTTTCGGGTGATTATACTATGAGAATTCATATTTTCTACAAGTTTAAACATATTTAACTTTATAACAATCTGTTTCCTTAGGTTACTAGTTGCATCTAAATCCCAATAAAACGTATCGGCAGTTTTCTGTCAACATGGCGAAGTACAGATGCTACCTCTCTGATCTCCTTGATTTTGGATCCTCCTTTGCCTATGAGTGAACCGCATTGGCTGGCTGGAACCACCAGTCGTAATGTCACCGGAGGTTTGCTGGTCACTGTGCTGTTTGTCATGGATGCATTGATCTCCTGCCAGGACAAATTGGGTCACAAACACCAGGACATGCATTCAAAATTGCACTCTGGAGGTGTTATTCATCGGTGCTGGTTGTGACCGTGTTCATAATTGCACGGGAATGGCCATCGTTGTGCTGTAACCCATATCTGTGCTTTATGATATGTTTATTCATCAGCTTTTGGGCATAACTGTCATATGTCACAGGCCATCTCTACCCATCATCCACAGGTTCTCATGTATTAACAGAGAACAAAGCTCACTGCACAGGTTCTCATGTATTAACAGAGAAGAAAGCACACTGCACAGGTTCTCATGTATTAACAGAGAACAAAGCTCACTGCACAGGTTCCCATGTATTAACAGAGAACAATGCTCACTGCACAGGTTCTCATGTATTAACAGAGAAGAAAGCACACTGCACCTGCCGAAAGCTTCAGGAAGAAATGCTTCCCAGACTGATAAACGCAGCATATACTGTAGTTTCATAGATCATTATATTTGTAATTTGGGTTGGAGTCGTAGTTCAATGTTACGAGTAGCATTCTGTGTGTGAGTTTTAACAACACTTTACTGGCCCAATAGGTTTGCTCATATACACATAGTTATTTATGGGAATGAATATCTAGTGATCAAGGCACTATGCACTTTTAAGTATATAGAAGTGGATGGAGCAGAAATACAAATAGTAGGTGGGAAAAGTGACTGAAAAATGACAATGATAAGAGACATTGCATGGGAGAGAAAAGGCTATTTTTGTGCCTTATTTGAGCTTGGATTCTGCTGCTCTGCTTCTCCAAAGGGAGGCTTGGAAGATTCCAGGGCTCCGGGCTGTAATTGCACATGGATGCCAATGGCTTGACATGCCATCGATAAGCAGACGTATCACCATTTCATGGGGTTGTCTACAAACTTGAAGAGTTTTACAAACCTTGGACGTAAAAAAAGAAGAATGGACACGATAGCACATGGCCCTGTGGTGCTTTAGTGCTGAGGGTTAGCATGTCTACAAGCACACTCAGCTGAGACAGTCCATTTTGTAGGAGCTCTTAAGACAGTCCACAATCAGGATTCTTTTGTGTGTCCCCCAGGCAGTGCAGATATTAGAGCATGAAATATAGACCCACATTGAGTGCATTGTCCATTGACCTGTAAACTCTGCAGTCGAACTGACTTAGTTTGTTATCCAGAAAGTAGTCATCTATAGAGTGTGTGCTTCTCCTCATTTGTTGTTATTGATTGTCTTCATGCTTTTCCAAGCTGCGCCTGGGTCATTGGCTGTGAAGTGGCTTGTAACCTTTCAGAAGTTTATCTGTTCTGATTTCCTTCTCCAGTTGGTACTTTGCTGTTTTAAAGAGATCTTCATCTTTCTTTCCTTGCCTGAGCTCTGCTATAAACCATACATTGTCTTTGCTGCATCTAACCTTGACCTTTGTAGGAATCCACCTGTCCTTATGTGTCAGTGTATTCACCCAGGTTGCTAGTTTCATTCTTAAAAATATTGCAGTCTCTGGAGTAAAAACAGCACTGTAGGTTCCGTATGACTTCACTGGTCCATCTTTTCCTTGTCACAACAACAGGCTTTGCAGAGTTGAATTTTCACCTGCATATTTACCTTCGTCTGAAGGCACATCTGATGTCCTGCCTGTATTTCTGGGGTTATTAAATTTTTTCAGAATGATAAAATGGAAACTTGGCTTTGTCCATTCTGCCTTGATAATCTGTACACAGGCAAATTAGGAGGTGAATGTTGAAGAGGAATAGAAGGGCTAACAGTCAAAGAAAAAGGGGCTTGAGGTCAGGGGAACACTGTGGCATAATTACATTTATTAATGTGATAAATGATTCCACCCCCTCTTGATTTCCCCCAAAAATCTCCAACCCACACTGTAGAACCAAAAGCCAAGCAGTAGTGCTGTGGTGTCCAGAATGGGCACACTGGTCCAGGTTTCTGTGAAGCGTAAGGTAAATGAGGGGAAAATGCTTGTTTTTGGTTTAATCGTGAGATTTACTGTAATTTGTCCAGCTTGCTGCACAAAGAACACAGCCACAAAAAATCCAGTGGTGTGCATTGTCCTTGCTTCCAGAAGCATAAAAGGGATACCATTGCAGTGCTTTTAATTAGAATATCCAGCCTGTTTGTGGATGAAACATTAGAGCACAGATTTATGTCTCTAAATTGGCCAGATTGTGTGTGTGTGTGTGTGTGCGTGTGTGTGTCTGTATGTAGGCATATGCTCTGCAAAATACTCATCCATCCATCTCATCCAGGATGCCTCATCCCTTGTGTCCTGGGCATCCTGGGATAAGATCCCAGATCACCACAGGTCTATGCAGTTTATTGATCGAGTTAGTTGTGTTTCCCTTGCATCCATTGCTTTATCTTTTTTAGATGTGCAATTCTGTATTGCATCCACTAGCCAGGCCCCAGTTCACCTAAGTGCATGTTTTTGGACTGCAGCAAGGAACCAGCATATCTCAAGGAAACCCAACAATAGGGGGGAATCATCAACTCCACTCACACATACACACACACACATGCACACACACAGGTTTGTAATTATATCTTTGTGGGGACTCTACATATACTTCTATGGGGAAAACTCTAATCATAACATGATGTCCTTAACCCCAACCCAATCTTAACCATAAGTAAACCAAACAAAATACTTTTTTAGTTTTTTGATTGCAATCACAGATCTTTGTGGGGACCTGAAAAATTGTCCCCACGACGTCAAAATAACAGGATTTAATTACATTGTAGGGAACATTTGGTCCCCACAATGTAATATAAATATAATCCACACACACGCACACGATTTGAACCCCCAAACCTGGCAGTGTGAGGCAGCAGTGCTACCCACAGTATCACCCATTATTTTTCTTTCTGTTTAATACAAAATTCTACAGATTTTGCAAATACCGTTGGTTCTGAAACCCCTTCAAAAACTGTTTATCTGTAAGACTGGGGAGGCATGAGCATCCCTGGGTGGGGCGAGGCCAAACGAGGACAATGACTCGTTTCACCTGTGGCTGATTACCAGTTATATAAGATCATTTTCATGTTCTGTTGTAGCCCAACACAACCTCATTTCAGTTTGTCCTGAAATGTTAAAGTATTATTTATGAATGTGCAATTATATGCTGCTTATCAATGCATGGCATATTACCTGTATATTAATTCAAAGTATACAAAATTGCAGGAATAAGGATGGCACGTTACAAGCAAAGGATGTTATCAGTAGAGTAAAGATGAGACACTTTTAACTAGGGTGACCAGATAATTCATGTCAAGAGGACACTCTGAGCTAGGGCAAGATTTGTAAGCTACCATTACAGTTAAAAGGACTTGGAGTTCTTACTGTGGGTTGATTGGTCAGTCTCCTATAATCATGCATGTGCCACTTATATTAATGTGAAACAGCTGGATGAGTCTTTCAAAGAAATTATCCAGACAAAGCACAGTGTTAAAAACCTAAAGTAGCTCAAAGTGTCCCTCCTGACATGGCTTTTCTCCAGACGGTTTTTGCTCGCTCTCAGCTCCCTGCCATACTGCACATTTTTGCCCTTCCCTACCGGGTGCTAGGAGGGTTCAAAAATGTGAAATTCAATTCAATTTATTTATATATAGCGCCTTTCACAACAGAGTCTGTGGATTCTGAAGGACCAGATTGGGAAACACTGAGATAGAAAGTCAATTACAGTATTTAAACACAGCATAGTAAAGATGGAGATGAAGCACAAACCTCTTCAAACTTGACCGCTATCATGGAGAATGCCTTGAAGATGGCATCTGTGGGACCCGTGATGGTGACAATCCGCTCTGGACATGAACCCTCTGAGATATTGATCCGTGCTCCACTCTAATGGCCAGGCAGGGGACAGATGGAGAGCAGACAGCAGGAAACATGAGGCAAGGATGAGAAGAGATACGGGAAACATTTAAGGACAAGTAGGAGGACAGAAAGGAACAGGAATAGAGAGGGATACTCAGTCAAATCCACACAACTGTACAGAGCAAGGTGCTGTATTCTTACAGTATACTTTTATAGAATAATTATATTAGGTTCAAATAGATAGCATTGTAGCCTCATGCCTCTAGTGTAGTAGGCTTGGATTCTGATCCCAGTTCTGTGTCGGTGTTTGGATGTTCTCCTCCTGTTTGTGAGTTTCTTCACGGTACTTTGCTTTCCTCTCACCATCCAATGACATGCAGTAAGGTGCTTTAAGCATGTCTACACTGTGTGTGTGTGTGTGTGTGTGTGTGTGTGTGTGTGTGTGCGTGTGTGTGTGCGTGCGTGCACCTGGCAAGGACTGGTAATATTTGCAGGATGCACCCTGTCTTGTGCCCTGTGTTTTCTAGCACTTAATCATGAGTATATGATAATGTAATAATCACTTATTTGGTAAAAATTTAATAAGATTGATAGCTTTACCTCCTCCCTCATCTTTTTTACAGTTTCTCCTTTCTGTAAGTAAAGAATATAAAGCAAAGTTGAACATAGTGTCTTTCCCAATCAAACTGAAGTAGTCCAAAGCACTTAGAAATGGCACACTCGTACCTTTCCAATTATGCTTCCAACTTCCTATAGAGAGTGAGAAAAAAGTAGAACAAACATTAAGAATCAACAAGACAGATAGCAGTAGAAATGGCAGGAGAGAAATCAGGAGGGAAAACTGCAGCAGAAAAATAGCAGGAGAAATATGGGAGACAGTATGAAGAAGATAATGGAAAGCAGACCTTTCCATGCATCAGCAGCCGTATGGTCAGCATGACGTTCAAACCTCCATCTAAGATCTTCCCATCCTTGGTGCTGAGGTTCATGTTGACATTCATAGTCATGTTCATGCTCACACCAGACGTGGCTCTGCAGGCCAACCACCTGGTTTCACACAGATGCACCCTGCAAGCATAATGACAAGAACCATGTTCTCATGAAGCAGTCATACACACTGTGCACAAGACCATAGACAGCAGTACAACATAGAGTCTCAGATATCTTATTTAGATTGGGAGCCAATGAGCACCAGGCAGAGGATAATCCATGATGGGGCAACAACCCATCACAGAGCACACACACACTGTGCATGCCTACAATCTAGCATCTCCAATTCACTTTAGCATGTTTTTGGGCCATGGCAGAAAAACCAGGGAAACCTGACAACCACGTGGGGAAAACAGGCAAACTCCATACAAGTAAAGCCAGGGTACAAACTCAAACCGTGGGCCCAGAGGTATGAGGTAACAGTGCTAACCACTGCACTATTGTGCCACCGTCAGTCCTCAGACAATAATGATGTTTAATATGATGAATAGAAACTCTACACCAAAGTTTCATCTAGCAAGGAGGACCTGTGCGATCATGATTGAGATGTTAAAAACAATCCTGTGGCATCTTCCATGTTTGAAATTGGCTGGGAGGTGGATCACACTGGTCTCCACAGGATTAGCAATTATCCCACACTGTTGATAATTACCCTAAAAACCTTTTGATGACCCAGCACTACTGGTAATTATCTAGTGATCACAGTTATTACCCAGTTATTACTGGTAAGTTAGTACAGTTATTACCCAGCACTCCTGTATATAGTCTACAACTGCTTATACTTTTCTGTAAACCAAGGTGGCCATACGCAGTGGTTAAGGCTGAGTAAAATATTCTGATTGTAATTATAAAAGTTCAGGTTCTTATGCAATGATTTAGTATTTGGGTTCTGGTCATGTGCTTAAAGTCTTCTGGTTCTGAGATCCATTAAAATCTCCGTTATCTACAGGATTCACTTATCCTAATTAGGGTTTGTGGTGGGGCCTGAAGCCATAGTTGTGTAGATTAAAGGTATTTATCAAACTTTTCCCAACCATAAAAAATAGCAAAAAGATTGTGAAAATGTAATTTTGATATGTAAAGCATTTCAGAATAATACTAAGGCAATTTACTTGAACTTCAGTAAACGAAATTCAAATGCATTTTGATATATAGTATAATGAGAAAGTCATTTAGGCCTTAGACCAAACCGGAGCTACGGTTCATATAGTCATGGCTATACATCAGAAGGAGACAACAAAATAAATCGTTATAAGACATGTTTGGAAGTTTGAGTAGTTCAGCTCAGTCTTATACAGACAGCTCTGCTATTTCGTATGTGTATTTCCAAACCATGAATTGGATCATACGCATCTCCTAAAAAGGGAAAAGCAGTGGAATAACATGCCTGAACATACAGGTCGAAGGAGGAATACACTTAATACTCAGTTAGCTCAGTTAGCCCATGTGCTTTGATTTGGAAGTGCAAATTTTTAGGAGTGCAATAAAAAAAATTGATTTGATTCAGGAAACTTTTAGTCAGATCATGTACCTAGATGTGTATGAGCAGTGACAATTCCACACCATTTCAACTGGCAGGGGGGGGGGGGGGTTAGGTACATTTCACCATAATGTCCTCCAAGTATAAACTGCCAGCATTAACTCTGTTAACACTGCTTTTCACCCACTGAAGTGACTCGACCACCCGATGCACCGCGTTAAGAGTCCGGCAAGAAAATATGTTTGTTTGTATCCTGCCTGTTCCCAGCCCACAAATATATATGTAAGTAATAATAATAATTATTATTATAATAATAATAATACATTTATTTCAGACCCAATGGGAGGGGGGGGGATACATGTTGTCATGGGGGCACTACCCCCTCACCCCCAGAACCGTCTTTGTGTATGAAAGAGAAAGATACACACCACTACTAATTTTCACAAAGTGTACTCCATTGCAATAAGAAGAATACTGGTGAAATTTCAGGTATTCAATGTAAAAGAAAAGTTTTAAAAAAAATCTGTTATTTTAACGTTGTGGGGACCACCTTTTCAGTCCCCACAAGGGGAAACTCAATTTTATAAAAATCTGTGACTACAATCAAAACCTCAAGGTAACATTACTTGATGGTGCACAAATACATAGCAATAACTCAGTTACTACTGAAGTACAAATTATGAACAAATCATGAACAAATATAGTTATTACTTCAGGTAAAAGATGCATTCATTGATGATGAACAAACATGAGATCAGTTATGTTGTTCATGACTTCTTCCTTCAGTAGTTCCTTCAATAGTTCACAAAGGCTTACAAAATTGGATGTAGTAACTTATGCAGTAACTGCTTGATAAAACATGCATATGTATTAATTAATCATGAATTAACATGAGATTCACATGTAACTAAGACTTACTTTATGGTTAATTAATACATACATGATAGTATAATGCTATATTATTTGTGCCCTATCATGTAAAGTGATACCAAACTTACAAATGCCAAAAGTCTTATGTTTTCTATGGTTACCTATGGTTAAGGTTAGGGCAAGGTAGGAGTTAAGGTAGTTATTGTTGGGATTAGGGTTTTTCCCATAGAAATGAATGGTGAGTCCCCACAATGATATGAATACAAACGTGTGTGTGTGTGTGTGTGTGCGAGCGAGCAGGTTTGTGTGTGTGTGTGTGATGTTATAGCAGACATGCCCGTACTCATGGATTAATAGCCATGTAGCTTGGCTATAAGATGCATATGAAGGGCAGTGCTGTACAGACATGGTGGCTAAGATTTCTCTGGACCCTTCAGTACAAAGTTGCCTTTGTATGCATCTGCAAGTCTGTCTGCTGGGAGCAGAGAACCCCGTGGCCCCTGGCCTTGGCTGCTTGCTGGGGCTTTATTAGAGACAGTCACACAGTCATCACTTGATCCTGAGCCCAGCGGAAAACAAACAGCTCCTCTTTGTGTCTTATCTAATTATGGACTGTCATGCAAGCTCCATTTAGCTAGGACAAATGCTTGGACCCACTGTGGAGTGTAAGCAAGTAAGCATGTGAAGATCATGTCACTGTCCTAAACCCTTTTACTTAGAGGCCGGGAGCTGAATCAGGTCTATACTTTGGACACACTGTGTTCTGCCACTGCTCCATCCTTTGTAGCAGCTCTATGACCCAAAACACTGCACTCTTGCTCTTTTGGGAAACAGGAACAGGCAACAAACAGCAAGGAGGCTTCTGTGGAGTCTTGCTATTTGAATTTCAGGGTGAATTTCAAATGGTGATGAAAGGCATTCATTAATTCAGAGCCCATTGCTAATCAGAGTGCTAATTATATGTTAGACGCGCTTTTAAAAAGCTGTTTCCAGAAATACCCAGCAAAAGAGGGCTGTTGTTAAAACTCATGAAGGAAAGTTAGCCGCACAAATCCTGACTGGAAGGAGGGATCCTGCAGAATGCCTGAGCCATCAGGTCTTCAGAGCATATGACCCACTGTGATGGCTTACACAGCAGCTACCTGTAAAGGTTAATGGAGTGCATCCTATCGGCAGTCCTCTGATTATGTAAATAATTAATAAACCAATCAGATTTCACCTCTATTATTATTTAAGGCTTAGTCTTTTAAATACACTCTCAGATTAGTACAGAGCAAATGCTTCCTGAAGCAGTAAATGTCAACAACATGGTATAATCGTCACATGATTAAATAGTGTGTAAAACATGTTCTTTTTTTAATGAAAATTAAAATAATCCAACTGTACTATTCTAACAAAAATGTTAAACATGAAAAATTATTCCATTTTAATTATAATGTTTAACAGTCATTGCAATAAATCTGCAGAGGGGGACCCCCCCCATATTGGCAAAATCAACTGAAGAGGACCCCCCCCCCCCCCCCCATATTGACAACATCTAACATTTAGTCATACGTCATTAGATTTATTGTGAAGTATAGCACTGTTGCCTCAAAACACAAGGGATGTGGTATTGACCCTAATCTCTGCCGTGTGTGTGTGTCTGTGTGTGTGTCTGTGTGTGTGTCTGTATGTGTGTAGGCATATGTGTGTGTGCGTCTGGCGTTTGCATGATCTCCCACATCCTACAGTCCAAAGACATGCAGTTTGACTAATCAATCTGTAAATTGCCTGTAGTGAATGACTGTGTGTGTATGACAGAGAGAGATGTGATGGCCCCATCATGTCCTGGATGTTCCTCTGCCCTCTGCAGCTTGGGATAGCCCTCAGGCCCCAACCCTGACTCTGTGTAGATTAAGTGGTTCGAAGATAGATGATTGATTATCTAAGCAAGTAGAATAGACTGAAGTCTTTATTTTAAAATTTACTACAACACAGGGAGTAAATCGCAGAGGACCTAACCCTTCTTGGAGTGTTTTTTTCATGTTGGGTTACAGTGCCTGGCCCATGACTCTCTCTCATGCGTAATTCTGCCCACCGGGTCCCTATTCCCAGTGTCTACTCATAAAGGCAAATAAATCAGAAGGCCTGTCAGTGTATTACACCCCCAAGTCCTCCTTTGCAGTTCTGTTCCGTTCCAAACTCCCCATTTCACGCTTTTCTGTTCCCTAGTGGCCCAGACTTCCACTCTATCAGCAAATGCTAGAATGTATGGACCTCACCTGTTCTACTTGTGTCCGAGGCAGTTTCCTCTAATGCGATACACTGCGATTCAGCTCTGAATTAACCCTGTTTAGATCCAAATGTTTTTTGTAACATTTTGAAAGCACTGCAAAAGCCATCCAAGCCTATAGGTAACTGAACCTGATCATCACATCTTGGAATGGAAAAATTACATTAATAGGCAGCAGTTTTGACAAGAGTGTACATACATTTATGACAGCTTGAATGATTTTTGGCCAATTTCCTCCTAAATTTGAGCCGTACTGGGGTCTGAATCCATGCCCCGTATCGTAGACCCCTGAGCTGTATTTCTGATTTGAATTGTATTTTGTTACACCTATGTCTGAAGAAATTACACAGAATAAGGCTCAATTGTGTTCCTGAATAGAACCTAACCAAGTCATGCTGATATGCTCCTGTTCCCAAACCTTTGTGCACTTCTGCTGTCCTGACTAAAACACCAGATGAGGCTCATATGCTACAATCCGTCAGCCCTGTATGGAGTCAGCTAAGTGTAGAGTACATCCTGGGTGTAGCATCTTAAAATATGAGGTGAAGAAGCATTAACACAGGCTAGTGAGCCAGCAGAGGAGACACGTTTAATATCTCGTTAAAAGCCCATCTGGTATAGTAGCGTATCAGTATGGCAGCTCTTAGATGATCAGTGTGCTTCCACCCATCTGACCCCTCAAGATGTGCTCTCTGATTGGTTAGTGACCCCCATCTTTGTTGCTAGCTTATTCCCTAATCCTGAATAGCATTACCTACCATCTGTGCTCAAATTGGAGGAGTTCAGTGCTATGTCCACTAATACAGCACCTGTGTTAGTGTGGTCCTGTCACATAATATGCTTAAAGGTAATAATGTAAGTCTACTAATTGCTGGAAGTGAATTATTACACAGTATCTGTATCAGTGTGTCCTGTTACAAAGCACAGTACAAACTTTTACACAGCTAACTATGTTTGATTTTGTATTCAGTCCACGTTTAAATCGAAAATGAGCTCAATAATAAATGCTCACTTAAAGGGTAACTATTTACTGCACGTAATGGATACACATGGACTTGGAAGGAGGAACATTTAATCCATGCCAATAAAAACATACAACCAATTACATTTATTATGGTTTGTAGTGCTGTTAAGGCTCAGCGAAATTGTAGAACTTGAATTGTAGAACACACACAAATGGCTATTTACTGTACATTTATTCTTCTTACCACAATTACGACTACCAATGACTCTCCATTGTGATACATGCTACCCATAGTAGGAAAATTGGTCATATGATTTAAGGCTATTTTAGTCAGTTTTCAGACTTAAAAATATAAAAATAAACTCATTCAGGCATGCAAATGACTCCCGTGGTGTCTCTAGTTACACTCCTTTGTAGTATCACTTTTAAAAGTCTCTTAATTTAATGATAATTTTATAATTTCATTTACATATAGTTACATGTACTAAATCATCAGCATGTTCCCCGCGTGTAGTTGTGTGTTACAAGCTCCTTGTCCAATGCATCACTGAAGGAACAATCAGTGTCAAATGGGACTTCTTGTCGGTGCTCACTTCCTGTGTTGCTTCATTAAATAAATGCAGAGAACAGTCACAGCAGTGCTAAATCCGGAGGATTTGCCTGCTTAGTGTTAAAACCCTGACCTATTTACTGCACCCCTCCCCCCAGCACACATATCATTAACCTCAGAGCTGCAGGGGAGCTCCAGCAGAAATAGTGAAAGACACATTGCACTTTAAAATAGAACTTTCATCTGACAAGTTCTTGCAGAGATACAAGTATACCTGAGAAGATTCCTCATTGCTGTGAATAAACATCAAACAATGGAATAATTCAAAGAATATCACAATACCATAAATAGTAACTACGGACTGTTATACAACTAATTGTCATTGTTCGATTTCCTTTGGGCAGTAACAAGAAAAGCAAGAAGTACAAGAAAAAAGCGTTTTTCTGTGGTTCACTATGTTGAGATTTTACTCTTCAGTATACAAGAGACCTCTCTGGGAAAGTGAGCAGAAAAAGCCAGATGAACGTTCTTGATTAGTGCCAATTTCTCAGATAACCATTGGTATTCTAGTTTGTCAGCATAAGGAGGATGAGCAGCGTGTGCCAGGTGTCCACACCGCTCCATCACAAGATGACAAATACTGGCCCTCTGTGAAAGTGCTCATGTGACAAACAAAGATCAAGGCTTCGCCTCCACTTTTAGCAGTCGGCCAACAAGCATAATAGCAACAACAGCAGCAATAATAAGAGTAATAATGATATTTTTATAGTGTTTGCTTTTTTCTTTTGAAAACATGTTTCTCGGTAGTATCTTCTCATCACTGCCCAGTACAAACAGAGTAAGAAGATGATGCACTTAACACTTTCATCCCTGATGCATGAAGTAAGAAAGTGGCACTGACCTTGTGTGTGAGTGTGTTCCAGATCAACCCAAGCTGTACTCCTAGTGTGAGCAAGCAGAGTGAGGCGATGCAAAGCAAGAGGCCAGCACAGTACCGTCCCCCTGTGTGCTGGCTAGATCCTCAGTGCACACAGATGGCCCAGTGCCCTAAGCCCAGAGGGAACAAGTGGGCTGCCTGCTCCCTCCCTCTTTCCCTCCCTCCCTCTCTTTAAAGCTGGTAGATAAGCCTGAGTCAGCCTGGGACTCAGCCTCTCCACCCAGCCACCTCCATTAGTCACACATGAGCGCAGTTCCTTAAAACTGCTGGAGGGACTAAGGGCAATAACTATGTACTACCCCACAGGTTGGGGATGGTACTGCGCGGCAGGGGTTGATTGTCACAAATTTCTCTCACACACATACAGTTGAATGTCCATAATATTGCACTCACA